AAACTGTACATTTTACAGTATAAAACTGTAATTTACAAACAAGAAAATTTGAATGTAAACCAGTAAATTCAACAATGCACACTGCTATTAAAATCTGTTTTGTACCTTTAACATACTGACAACCACCATAATAATGCAGGTGGTAAAAGAGAAAGCCACATGAAGAATCAAAGCTCATCACAAGTAGCTTCGCCACAAGCAGAAGTATATACTAATATATAGAAGGTGCACAGAGTCATTCATGCAAACACAAAACACCATCATGGTAACACACATGATGCTTAAATAATGCATTAACTTTCATTAAACAACAGAAGATGTAACATAAAGCCCAAATATACATAACTAATAACAAAAATTATTTAAAAAAACATGATTATTTAAACAAAATACTTTCAAATGTGGAGTGTCATGCAGGGAATTCTGGGAATATCAGTTTACAGTTTTTGACTGTAAATTATACATTTATTTTTTATTTTTACTTCTAAAAACTGTAAAATTAACAGCATTTTACTGTACAATTACATGAAATGTCTGGTTAGATATTTTACAGTTTTTCCCTGTATATAGTACGGGAACTTACTGTTAACCTATTAACAGTTTTTTTCCGTAGCGTTTTTACAAAATTTTACAGTTAAAATTACACTTATTTTTTACAGTGTACGCATGCAGGCGGTGAAGACGGTGCTTACTTTAACACAGCTATTTAAACATTATTCCTCCAGGTACCAATTAAAACCACCACTGAGCTCACTGTTCACGTGCACACATGCATAAACACAGGTATGCACGATCTTGCACGCTTATGCGCGTTCACATGAGGGTTCTCAAGAAACGTATCTGATCATCTGTCAGGGGATCTTTTGGAACTGCAACATTCTCCCAACAGATTGCAAAGTGTCAGGCTTAGGCCAAGACTGAGAGATCTGAGAGCAACCTTTAAGAAAAGAATTGGTAGTGAAGGACATTTGTGGCATTGAAGGACAGACTTCCACTGTGAACTGTTTAATAGGTAACAGTAACAGTCTTGCTGTGCTTCAGTCTATTTAAGAACTGGGGTTTTAACTTAAAAGAGTGTTTCTTCAGTGGGAACTTTTATGTCCCTGGGGTTGAGTTTTACCAAAACTAACAGATTTAAAAAAAAATAATAAAAAAAAAACGTCTGAAACTCTTGGGAACTTTTAATTTTTACCTTCATCGTTCATTTCTGCTACTTTTTGAATGCCTTTTTTGTGTGTAGATTGTTTTACTCAGACTTTAAGTGTTCAAATATGCAAATACATTATATTACTAATATTACAAAAAGTTACGTTTCAAAAACTAGGATAATATAATGAAGAGTAAAATAATTATTAACCATTTTAACATTTATTTAGGTGATAATGATTTACTGTCCATCAGTTGTTGTGTTATTTCCAACACGATCAATAATTTTGCCATGAAGTTTTATCAGAAATTAGTGTACTTGGTTGCCAAGGAAACAACAGTGTCAGGGAAGAGCAAGAAGAAATATGAGATGAGATGTGTAAAGAAAACAAAGAAAAATCTGAACAGAATAGTTTTATTTATTTTAGAATAGGCTGTAATTTTGTCTTATTATAAAGAAAGTGTGAAAATATTTTTTAATTGTGATAAAATCAATTAATTCTTCATTTAATTTTTAGGGTACATAAAATGCTAAAAAAAAAAAAATGTTTTACATTTCCAGCAATATCATTTTTAATTACAGAATGCTATTGTCAAAGAAACATCAAAAATGGCATTTAAAAAATTTTTATTTTTAAAATTCAATTATAATTCTGTATCCTTGCATCAAGCTTTTTGCTCTCATAAAAATATTTTCACTGCAGTATTTTACCTGTTCATCGATATTTATGCATCAAAAATCACAAAAGCTTCAACAATGCCTAAAATTCTTTCTCCCTAAAAATAAACATGGTTTAATATTTATGAACATACATTATGGTCATTTCAAAGTGTAGATCAACCTAAAACGTTATTTTGGCTGCAAAGTTTTCAAAATATAAAACAAATACAATGCTTAATACTTGTTAGAACATATGAAGAGTCTAAATATAAATCAGCCTGACAATAAGTTCATACCATAAAGAGCCCCATACTGTACTAGTGCTACCTTTTAAACTATGACTACATGAGGGATGTTTCAGATTTATTTTGATCAGATTCTTGCTCATTAGCTTGTAGATTAGGTATTAAATATTCAGTACATTTAACCTTAAGCTTGTGTCTGTTGCAGATCCTGGGATGATTTTCATGACTGTGCAAATGTGGCCATGGCCGGCTGCCCTGAGGAGGCCGCTGTGGTGTGGGAGTCTCTGAGACAAGAGTCCAAAAAGATGCAGTTTTCTGGAAACCTGTATGAGATGTGCTCCAGTCGTAGCCAATCAGCAGCTGCCTCTGATTCCCGAAGCCCCGATGAGACCAATCAGGAGTCGTTAAAGGGACGCGCTAGTCATACAAGCCTGACCTTTCTGACCTTCTGTTTGCCTGTGCTACTACTGTTTCCATGGATATAATCGCATCTCAAGCCTCATCTCAGAGTTCAAATATTCAGCACATAGACAACAATACTGACTGGTTTGGTTCTGACATTTTCATGTAGTAGAATAAGATTCATTTTATGCTTCAAATCCAAATTTTTAGAACAAAAAGAATGTCATTTGGACACTTGTTTTCAACAAACACATGTTTTCAGGTCCCAATGCTTGCTTTTATTATTTATTTATTAAATAGCAAACTTCATTTTAAGCACAAATTTCATTCATAGGAGGACCAAAATGCAAACAAGTCCAGGCCTGATGAGGACAAATCAAAGATGGCAAAAAGGCATTTCCAAACATTCGAACCCCTTCATCTAAGAGGAAATTAAATGAAGGTCTACTGCAATACATTATCACATCGGTGAGCTATGAGTATCAAAGCAATTTAAAGAGCCCTCAAAACTGTTATTATTTCACTGTGTAGTGTAATCTTCTTTTGTAGGATCCTGAGAGGATTAAGTTTAAGGATTACACCAAATAAAAGTAAATCTAAGCAACACGGCTCACCTACAGGCTTTGCCTGGGAACAGGATTGTCAGACTTTTTAGTCTGTAGTCTGAATGCCTTTGGGTGACGGTTTAATCCCAATTTATTAATGACGGGTTCATTGATTCAGTTTAACGAACAGCACAGCGTTACGCTTCAAGGTGTTTTTGTACTAGTCTGTATCAGTTGATGTTGGTTAGAGTACTGTGTATATATTGTATAGTCTTACATTATACATTGCTCATAGCTACTTTTTTTATTTTTTCAAATATGTGTATTTGTAATGACACAAGATGGATTCGCTTCAAAAAATTACGATGGTGCAGTAATGTAAATATGACCGATATGCTGTAAAGAAAAGCTTTATGTGAATAAGTATGTTATCATTTAGTGCATAATGAACAGATGAGGCAAATCAATGGAGGTGAACGCATTAACATCAATAAGATCAAATTGTGAATGATTATCACCATAAATATGAGCACACAGTGTATTCCTGCGGATACATGACTTTGGAGTTTTTTCCCTGGATCAGCTTTCATGACTTTCCCTCAACACTGTGCTCTGCTCCGCTCAGCGGATTCCTCAGTCAATGTGATTTATGTTTAATTTTTAGGCTTAATTGGCAATCAATCATGTTTGCCAATGCAGTGAACTTATTAAGGAGGGCAAAAGTCATTTATTTAGTCAGAAAAAAACTTTAATAGGGGAGGGTTGCCGCTTATGTCTCAAATTTTGCTTTTGTGTGGTAGATTGCTTTTCTTTGATTCCAAATCCAATTCCACTATTGTCATAGCCAGTGAATGTAGTACAATATAATGAAATAATATATAGTAAGGGCTAATATGTACCAATTTTAAGTGTACATCACTCCTTGCTACATTGAGCTCATTAATACCTCCCTTATTAATAATGTTTAATAATATATCGAGACAGTTATAATTTGCTTGACAGATGCATTTTGTGAATCGCATGTAAAACAATTTTCTTTTTTATTTTGATATTATACTGTATATTGCTGATCGCTCACTCATTTGAAGCTGTGCCCTGATCTCTACAAAAAAAAAAAAAAAAAGGAATTCTAAAAATTGTTCAAGGTGTCTAAAAGAACATTTTAAATGCTTCTTGTTTTCTGTCTGTCTGCACAATTATTTATTCATACCAATATATTCTATATACATTATATAAATAAAAGTATTGCTATTACATAAATAAAAGGTGCCGGTCAACTAGTTGAAAATAACTGGGATTTCCCCGTTTTATGTTATATAAAAACGTAGCTGCTTTTTACAGCTAGCAGAAAGTGTGTAAATCTCTTGTTCTCACTTTGGATGGCATTTTTTATTCCTCTAACTCTTCCAGATATTAATATTTCATGTGTCACAGATGCCTCTGTAAACACAGACACACCTTCAGTTAGCAAGACGGAGGTCACCTCCCAACACAGCTGAATCCTGCTCAGAACATACACATAAACACTCAGCGGTGGTATGAGAACAACCATTTTTGTGGGCATTACTATGTAACATTTCTCTTGAAATCATGAATTCTAGAAAACATGAACAAATGTGTAGTTGATTTTATTGGCACAACTCAGTACAACTCTTTGGCTCGTGTTGTAGTAGGGCAGCTAGAATACTTATCGATGTTTGTGTACTCTGATGATATATGGTAATCCAGTAACAGTTTAAAGAGTTATGGGGATGCGCCACGGTTTTATTGCTCATAATATGTTATGTTTACGTGGGCGTTTTAATTGCAAGGACGCTTACTATTTTTCTTCTTCCCTTTTAATACTCTGTCTGTGGCAGCATACTTAACATACAGCAAAATTCTGTGGCACTGTGATTTAGATTTATATGATGTTTTAGAGGTCTCCATCTTAAAAGGATAGTCCATCCAAAAATGAAACTTGTACTCTCGCCCTCATGTCGTTCCAAATCTGTGCATTTTTTTCTTCTTTTAAACACAAAAGAAGATATTTTGAAGAATGTTGGGAACCAAACAGTTTTGGTTCCCATTGACTTCTATTGTATATTTTTTGTCAACACAATGGTACCATTGGGAACCAAAACTGTTTTCCCAGCAAACAGGGAATGATCTTGCAAAGTTTTCTGAAAGTTATGAACAAACATTATTCCAGTAACATTAATAGAACGTTTGTTCAATGTTATCTAAAAGTTACCATTAATAATCATCTCAAAAAGTTGGCACAGAAGCATTACTTGTACATCATTTATGGAACATTTTTCTAAAACATTTTAGTTGGACATTCATCTTACATTTTTTTAATGTTACTACTTTAACATTTGCATAACCAAACATTAGTACTTTGTTACCAATGTCGCTACTTTAACATGTTTTTAGAAGATTAAAAAAATTGACATTTTGAACGTTTGGATTTTGGAAAACATTCAGAGATAACATAATTATGCTTTTCGTAACTTAATGGTAACATTAGCAAATCATTCTTACAACATATTATTGTTCGCTGGGTTGGTTACCAGCATTCTTCAAAATATTTTTTACATTCAACAGAAAAACAAATCACGCAACTTTGGAATGACATGAGAGTAAATTTTCGGAATTTTCATTTTTGAGTGCGCTATACCTTTAAGATGGTAGATTTCTAGCTCATAGAACCAGCAACAAAACAGCATACAGGTTAGGAAAGACATGAGGGTGAGTAAATGATGATGTGAGTTTTTAACCTCAAACATAATTTGATTAAAAAACGGGATGCAATCACATTTTAATGCATTCACCTATATCTGATGTAATTCAGGAAGATCTTGTCAATGGAAACCACAGCATTCACATCTCAGTGTTGATGTCCTAATCATTAATCAACTCGTGGTGCTTGACAGTTTGTGCTTGATTTAGGCGAGAGATCTGCTGGGCCACTTGCCCTCTGTGCAGATGTTGCACAGTCACACAAAACTCACAGACACTAACACACACACACACCTAAGACTCATGCCAAACTATAACACTGCTTGCATTAATCAGACCCTTCCTGATTGATCGGGGGAGGATGAGCTGTTTGATCACATAGCGCCCTTCACTTCACCCCCTCTTCTTCCTCTCTCCACAGCTCTTGGCAACTGTTCTGATCTGACACATTACCACTTTAGGGAGGGCCAGGTATGAAGCCAGGTGATATTTTATGAATCCTCTGAAGAAGAGTGCAGGGAATAGAGGCTCAAATTTTCCATCCTATTCCATCCTTATCTTTACGTGTATTTTTTATTTTTCTTCAATAGCTGATATTGTCAATTTATAACAGTTTTCACATACCAAATTAGATTTTCTAGTACCTGTTTCTGAATATTGGATCATTGCAAGTTGCTGTATTTATGAATAAGCCTTCTGAATCATTTACTCAACCGATTCATTCAAAAACATTGTTTTATTCAGAAACAAACAAATGCTGTCCAAAGTGTAATAATTGCCAAAGCTTGGAGCAGAATTTTCTGTTATTTGACTCACCTTCAGACCATCTAATAACGCTTCAGAGTGGTTTGACTATGTGAAGCTAAGCGTATCCCGAATCTCCAATACAGGAAATATGTCATGTAAGTAGTAAGTAGGCCGCAAGTGTGGTTACTGGGTTTTATGGAGTGATTCAAATAATCATTAATTGAGGATTGAAACAAGTGAGTCATTGAATCATGCACTCAAACGATTTGTTAAAAAAACCTATTTCATTTAGGAATGAAACATGTGGCTTTCTTTTGGAGTGATTCAGTGGGTCATTAATTTAACCGATTCACTCAAAACAATTAATTAATTCAGCAATGAGTCACTGAATCATATACTCAGTTGATTCACTCAAAACACTTGATTCATTCAGGAATGAAACATGTAAGTGAGTAACTGAATGTACTCAACCAATTTGTTCAAACACTGGTTTATTCAGGAACAAAACAAGTGGCTTTCTTTTAAAGTGATTCCCAGGATCATTAATTTAATAATGCGCTTAATTCACTCAAAACACTTAATTAAATCAGGGACAAATCACTGAATCATATACGTTTCATTCAAAAACACTGATTCACACAGGAACTGTTGTGTGTTGCCCAGGTACGGAGAAGAACAATGGTTCTTCAATGGAAAAAAATAGACAAAGTAACTGGAAGATTGTGTTAAAAATGTAGCATAGACTCTGTTGTCACAGTATACGGTATGATGGATGTTTCTTTTAAATTGTGGGGTCTCCAATTGTCTAGTGAATAGAAAGAGGCGCACATCACATCTATGTCTAAAGTGATGTGTAAAATCATGAATTCTTTCAGTCTCACTCAATATATTGTTACATCAGCAGCTTTTCCCTCAGCCAGCAACAAATGTGCCATGATAGATAATAGCCCTTAAAATCCTTCTCCATGTTCACTCATTAAATTCAGGAAGACAAAAGGTAATTTATCACTCAGGAAATCCTGATATTGCCCATTCCAGCTCCAAGCAAAACTAGCACACGCTCCCTTATTAAAACTCTGCCCAAGGGGCCGAATCTAGTTTACTTTCTGGAATTCTCTTTCTCTTCACGCAGATTGCTAGAGAGAGAAAATGTATACAGGTTTCTCTCTCTCACTTTCCTTCATTTTTGTTCATCCCTCTTTCTCTCTCCTTTTCCCTCTCTCTGTGATAGATTCATCAGAAATTAATCAAGGGTCAATCTGATGTGTTGAGGTAGATACAGTGAAATGTGAGACAACATGGGCGAGGGGACTGATGGAAAGGGAAATAGTTTAAAGAGATAAAGAGGGAATTTATATGGAAAGCAGGTGAATGGATAGATATAAGATTGAAACTGGAGTAAAAAAAAATAGGCAGATTTTATTATATCTGTATCAGCAGAAAATACTAATATGTGAAAACTTGCACATTAAAAATTCTGTAAAAACACATTTAAACATGTTAAACACATTTATTATTCCACAGAACAGCTAAATGCACATTTTTACATGCAGCAAATTTATGGCATGTATTAGATTTAGTTATTACATTGTACAAATTATTCTTAAACTATAGAATAACAAACATTTTTGGCTTTTATAATATAGAATTACTTCTAAGTAATTAAATTGAATAAAATTAAATTAACTTGATTTGAAAGTATCTAAAATGATAACTGCAATGCAAACTGTTGCATCTCTCTTTCTTTCTTCTTTCTATTTGTTATTTTTTGTTGCAAATCTTAGAATTACTTCTAATTATACTGTAGGTAAGTATCTAAATAGGTATATTACAACGCAAACTATTGCATCTTTCTTTCTATTTTCAGTGTCATTATCAGACCTACATTCATGTATCTTTTCACCATCTGTACATCATCCTTAAAGGCTTATTTCATGAGTTGCTAGTAAAGACTGGTTTCTCTTTACAGTCATCGACTTGCAGGGTGCCACTATATCCTACAATCAACACTTGCTTACACATATGGCTCTGTATCTCCCTATGGGCACATTCTCCTGGCCAGATGAAAGTCTACTTCTTTTAGTTTGTATTTCCTTCCACCTGGTTAAATATACAACGTTTTAATAATTATACATTTTTAAATAATTATCACTAAAGAATTCCAAAATAATTATATATTAAATATGTATTGTATAGGTACCAAAAGAGCACATGTACATGCATACTGCTGATATATTGCTCTTTAATTTAGTTTCAATATTAAACAGGTATTATTCCATAAAATTATGTGCATAGCACATAAAAAGTCTAAAAAGTGCAAAATGTTTTTGTTGTCTTTTTTCCGAGTATCTTACATATCAAAAAAGAAATAATCACTACCGTTCCAATACATACAGTATATGGTGCATATCAGTATCATATCAAATGTATAGTTTTTGCTTTTATGGATCTCATAAAATGCAACACTTCAACAGATTATACAGCAGAGCTCTCATTTCAGGAGGACAGGGGTT